ACCGTTTAACTTTGCTTTTTCGCCATTTTGACTATATAGCACCCCTGCTACCATTTGAAGCTTTAAACTGCGCTCTAGAGTCAGATCCCGTGCTGAACCCATTCGTAAAAACACTTCTTGCCCAGATGGTCCAGTGCTTCCGTTCCCCCTTTCGGCTCACGCCTAAACAACAACCCAACAACAACGTAAGTCTTCAGTTTTTCTCTCATTTTGTTTTGTTTCTAATCGCAATCCTAATTACTTTTGTTGTTTGGGTGAATAGACTGCGTACCTATCTGGATACGGGCTAATAGGGTTCACAGGCGGGGGGCGGGGCATCTTTGCTAGATGCCGATTGGGCTTTAATTGTTTTGTCAAATACTATCATTTTGTGTTTCATTTCGATAACAGCTTTTTACTAACCGGTGTGCGTTTGTAGAGCTACGAAATGGCGATGATCTCGCAGAATTCAACGCCAGCGAAGAGTTACGCGCCGCATGTGAGTGCATTTTCAATTGTGTACACTTCAACAGAAGAACCATTTGGAGGCCGAAATATGTGACAGTTTGGCGCACGGTTGCTATGTAACTAGATTGACACGTAGAAATTAAAAATTTCAATAACAAGAGATGCAAAGCTGTGATGAGTGCTCTCTGTTCGCTTTCTGCTCTTCTTTGACGATCTGTTAATGGCTTACGACGATGGCACTGGACACTTGTGTTTGCTACACTATTTTCTGCTTCAATAAGTTGAGACTATTCCTTGAAGCTTCTAGCGGCCACTGCGTGGGTCTTGTGGATCCTAGCGTTCAGACTTCGGTATCACGCGCGTCGACGCGCTGTAACGCGCTATAGCGCGCGTAGACGCTCTCCAGCGTGCATTGACATTGCAGTCATTGCAACAGCTCTCCAATGCTGAAGATGGGAACGCAACCATAGAATAGCATCGATCGGCGCTGGTGTTTCAAGAGAGTATGGGGGAATGAGGAGGCATACGTTGCCTAATCGCACAGCCTCCTGACGCTGCCTTATCCTTTCAGATGGCCGCAACGTCCCTCACCAGTCCCTAGTTGTCATCGCTTTTGTCACCCACTGTTGATGTCCCCATCTCACCCTCTATATCTTTCTGACAACGTTGATACTGTCATCCGCGATGTGAGTTCATTGATCCTATCCTTCTGACCCCCCCCCCTTATCAGGATCTGTCATCAATTCAGTTCGTGGCACCCACCAGGTTCCTGTCCCATGATTTAGATCATCTCTTGGAATCAAGGCCTAACTGATGCTGTGATCCGCGTTATGAATATGGTGACCATCCCCTTCTAACACCCTTATCAAATCTTATCAGCTGATATCACTTCCTGTCACCCACCAATAGTGTTCCCGTCACACCCCCTACATCACTTCTTGGAACCAATGTCTCACTGCTACTGGGACCGGCGCTATGAATTTCGTGACAAACAGACGGACACATGCCCACACACATGCGTGCAGACATAATTGTGGTGTTTTTGTGGGAAGCACCGCCTATCTCAATTACGCCCCGCCCATTTCGGGTGTGTCTGGTCCATCTGGTCCGTTAACCCTTTGCTAAGCTTTTTCCATTTTTCCCCTATCTCAGGGCTGCTCTGAAGCCGAACAATGATTTTTTTGAGTGACAGCGCCTAACTTTCAGCGCATGCTCCGCCCACTGTGGGCGGGGCTTATCCGGGGCGGGCGGGCCGAGTTATATGTGCTTTTTACATCATGTCCAATGCCATACCCATCCCAACCTTGACCCGATCTCTCCAAGTTGTTCTTCAGGTAGAACCGAATTTCCGGAGAGAGAGGCAGACGGGGAAAGCTACAGCTGATATCACTGCAATTAGCCGGGTAGCAATCAGTCGGTCCTCACTCCGCGGAGTTTCCACCGTCGGTTGATTTCTTCCTGAATCGGTCACTACCCGATCACCACTGGTAGATCAAGGCTGGGTCATTCCGCCTTCGTCACGCCGTCCCCGACTGGTTGCGATGTTACAAACTATATACTCGAAATCCCTGAGATCGGGTAGGCGTGGCCGCATGCTTCAACTTAACCTGAAGGTGTCTATGCTTCTGGTG